CCCCAAAACCCCAAAACCCCAAAACCCCAGATCATCAATACTATTGAAACAGTATACTTTCCTAAAATCTCACTTTAAACTCTTCACATCTCTTCCTTAAATATCAACATCTGGTAAAATCTTCATGTACTTAATATTCCTCTTCCTCTGCCACCACACATAAAATACAAGTCATCACAAAATGCCCATGGCAATAACCAACAATACAATAATTTCATTCTTAAACACAAGGGAGCCCACCCAGTCTTCCCCACCAGTATACTTCGCGTCATCAAGCACGGTGAATCTAGTCAGTATTTCAGAAGTTTGTTCGTAACTGAAGTCGCCCAGCAGGGGCTGAGTGTCTTTTACACTGAAGAAGGAGGTGCCAATGCAGGTGGTAGGGTCTTCACGGTAAGTGTCAGAGAGAGGTGCTTGTTCGGGAGAGGAGTTGAAGTCGGAGTTAAGAAGGTGCTCAGGGGAGAAAAGTAAGCTCTGCTTGATCTTTTGGTTGAGGGAGCGGAGGAATTCGTCGAGGAGATTGTAGCATTTTACGGGAGCGGAGGATTCTATTCAGTAGGAATCTCCGATGGCGAGGATTGATCCGGATTCTTTGTTGTTGTTCTCATCTGAGAGGTCGTAGATTCCGATTAAGGGATGGATTTCTTCTTTAATTTTATCAAGATCTTCTATCTTTGCCATTGAGATTACGTCTTCAACGAGCTTTCCGGCAAATAGATATCCTTTATTTGGAAATTTCTGGATAACCGCACCTGATTCGATTTTGTATTTCTCTTCTCCAACTGCAATGGTACCTGAATAACTACTTTCTTTGAACATAATGCCATATGGTTTAAGAAGTGTGTTAATAGAACGTAAGTCACTTCCACCTATAACTGGTTTCCACTCCTTCTTCGTAAATTCTGACTTAAAAGTGTGTTTTTCAATCATGGCCTCGTCACTCCATTCTGCTATAATAATTAGTGAAAGACCTCTAATCTCTATATCCTTCCTAAGCTTAATGACTTCATTCTTAGAGAGGGCTTTCTCCGGATCAGCCAGTATAAAGGCTGCGTAATTTCTGCTGTCAAAGCAGGTAATTGGTTCATTGAGGATCTCAATATGGTATTCTTGAGACCTCAAAAACTTATAAAGCTGTAGATAATTTGTAAAAAGGTGGTCACCTTTCCACTCATACGGCTGTTTGTCAACAAATATACTGTCTCTGAGGATATATCCGTCCTCAGGAAATTTTAAGTTATGGTAAGCATCCATGAGAATACGCTTACTTCGTTCTGGAGTTGGGATCAAATTTATCTTCATTGTATGTGTAGTGTATTGTATCTCACCCGGCGTTGAAGAAGTGAACGAGATATAAGTTGTGATATCCTCCTCTGGAGCGGATACAAATCGACATTCCCGAGTGGAGTCCACTGAGATAGTCATTTTTACCAATGTATAATACTCGATAGCATCAGACTTCTCGTATTGAATTTTCAAGCAATCATGAACGAATTCATTCTCTGTTTTCCAAAAGAGATCTTCAATTTCGCTTCCATTTTTCGAACTTGGGTGAATAACAGTAAAATTGAAAGATATCGGGCTCATCGTTGAATAGAAAGAGATGGAAGAGAAAGGCTCATTTGAAGGATCTGTTAAATCCAACCTTTCAGGAAAAACTATTGGAAGAGAATTCTTTTTGGGTTTTAAAGATTCTCTCACTTTATTTAAATCGAAAACACCACCGGTTTGGTAGCTCATTAATAATTTCTTATCCTTGTTAGAATTTTTCAGAATATGGCTCTTTATAAGAGCAGGATTTGGCTTATATTCGAGACTTGAGAGAATAACAGCGAGTGAGCCAGAAATTATTCCTGAAGAGACACTAGTGCCAGAGGAGACTGTTCAGCCTCCATCGATATCTAATCCTCCAATTTTTTCCCCAAGAGTTATGACGTCTGGCTTAACTATCCCGTACTCTTTTAACAAATTCCACGTAGTTATTCCTCTAGAGCTAAAATGTGCGATTCCAGTCTTTGCTTGGTTTAGAGAACCTACTCCAATAACATTGGTCATATCTGCAGGATTATTAAGAGTTCCTTGGTCGGGGCCATCATTTCCAATAGATGAAACCACTGTTATTCCATGTCCTGTTACTTCATTTATTTTATCAATAAACGGATTATCTTGGAAATCTGAGCTTCCATTCGATAAATTTATGATATCAATGCCTTGCTCAATAGCAAAATTGAAGGCTTCCAAGAACCACTCCGTATATGAATCATGGTTTTTATTAAAGACCTTAAAAATGTATAATTCTGCATCCGGTGCAATTCCTGGACAAGCTGGATTTTTGCTGCCGATCACACTCGCTATAAAAGTACCATGGCTTGTAGCATCATTATCTTGGTCTTCCTTTGTAAAATCTACGATATCCACTATATTGAGCATCGAGGCAGTCTCGTTTGAAATTCCGGAGTCGAAAATAGCGATTTTAACTCCTTTCCCTGTATATTGTATTTGTTGAATTTGTCAGTAATCTCCTTCTCACTCATCGCTCTTTCCTTCCCAAATGGTTGAAAACTCATCTGCGAGGTTTGAGAAATCACCTCTAATAAATAACTGCCTTCTTTGCTCATCCTGGTCTTCTTCCTTGCCTTGTACCTTCCTTCTACCCTCTTTCAAGCTGGGGTGGAAGACATTGTTATTAAGACTAGTACCATGAAGATTCAAAAATGTAGAATAGTGGCCCTTAATCTTTTTGTTGGGACTGTAGGACTTTACTCAATCTAAGCTCATTATTCTATCGTGGACTTCCTCCTCGAAGAAGGAAGCAAGAGGGTCGGGTTTTAGCTGGATAACTTCGAAATCTTTGGCTTTATCGTCCATTTTACCTTGTTTAATCCCAACTCGATCTCGTACCGGGCTCAATCACAAGTCTCTCTCTTCCTTACTCAAATACCCATAAAAATACACTATAAACTCCTTATTTCTCTCCTCTTCCTTATCAGACACGAGCATCACTGCTGCTCAGATCCCAACAAGAATAGCCCAGAGGCCAATAAAGTAAATAGCCTTGTTGCGAAGCTTCATTACAAGTTTTAATATTTATAAAGCCAATCTCCAAAGTATTATATGGGGTTTTGGGGTTTTGGGGTTTTGGGGTTTTGGGG